GTTCTTGACATAGATATTTAAACTATTAATTTAAACATCAGGACTTGAGAAAATGTAGAAAGAGAAAATAATTGTAAGTAATTATAAATGAAGGACAAACACTTCAGGTGGGTATGAATGAATCCTGCCAAACAGAAGCAGTTAAAATTTGCTCTGTTATCTACACAATATGTATAATTGGAGGCCACAAAGTCTATATGTATTTCCTACTTGGGATATTCCTCCTCAACCTTTTCCTCCAAAAAACAGAACCAGAAATCTTATTTTTCTTCATCTAACTTAAACAACATTCATACTGATTTCACTGTTTTTACTGACTGTGGAATTTTGATGAATGAGCAGAGCAGGAGACCTATTAACTGTGTCCATAAATCACAGATCAACAGAACAGATTGATCATCAGAACCCGCTTCCAGCTCTCTTCTTAATCTTCTGCATACCACACAGTGTTCCTCCATTCTCCCATGCAATTTTAATTTTAAACCAATTTCCATTTCCTACTCAGCAAGTTTTTACAAATTTTCCCTCCTGCCAGCTGTTGTATATTCAATGATTTTAAATGAATCTTTATGATAGCTTCAGAAAAACTTGATTAGAAAGCTAAATAGCCTGCAAATTGTTCACTGAATTTTGAAACAAAACTGAAAAATTGCAGCTATTAGACTTATTGCTTCTGTTTTTATAGATAACAGAGTTTATTGAATTTTGTGATGTTATTTTAAAAAAATTCAATGAATAGCTTTTATGGAACTCCATTGAAATAGTGTAATTGAAAGAAAATGTGGCAATCAGAAATCTAATTATATACTTTTTGGTACTGGATGTTAGTGAATGACTCATATTTATTTATTCTGGCAGACGATCTATTAATGTAGTAAATAATAACAGAACAATTTGAGAAAGAAAAAAGAAAAGCCATGATTTTTAAATAGATGCACACACAATAGTAGTTGTGAAGCCACAGAATTATGGCTAAAATGTATAGAAGTGTTTTTAATTTCCAGTCTTTGGTGAAAACTTCTTGATTCAAGCTTTTTGTTTTTAAAATGGTGTTTTTCTTTTATACCCACTGTAAAGATGTGAAAATGGTATCAAAAACAGATGTCATTGAGGGAGACTGGTAAAGATGGATCGGCATGGTTTGTATAAACTTGTCAGAGTGTTGTCACAGAGAAGAGCAATGATTTGGGCATTGGATAATTCCCTCCTGGAGCCTACTTGTCCCCAGAGACAGGATAGTTTTCATAATATGTGTGCACTGGTTTTCCAGGACTGCTCTATCCATCAGAGTCTACCTTCTAGTTCTGGGGACCATAGTCTAAAATCTGGGGACCATAGTCTAAAATCTGGGTGTCCAGGGGAATCTGTTCCTTGCCTCTCCAGGATTTTGGTGGCTGCTGGGATTCCTTGACTTGTAGCCTCATGAAATCTCTGCTGAAGTAGTCACTTTACCTTCTTTCATGTCTTCCCTGCATGTGTTTCTCTCTCTCAAAACTCTCCCTCACGGGGGAAAGGCCTCCCTCCGCACAGGTCTTAACTTAATCACAAATTTTCCCCTATGAGGCAATATTCACAGGTCCCAGAGATTTGACATGGGCTTTTTATTTTTTCCCCATTTTTTTCTTTTCTTTTCTTTTCTTTTCTTTTCTTTTCTTTTCTTTCTTTTTTGCCTGACCCAATACAGTAAAGCTGCTTCATAGGGCCTTGGGTCACTAGTCCTTCTGTCAGCCAAAAGTTTTGAGCTGGCCTCATGGATGGCTTCCCTATGTGAACTGAGATATTAGACTCATTGTCTCCTAGTACAATAGTATGAAAAAGAGGAGGTAGTCTCAGTGTTACCCATGTGATCAGAAACCCATCAGTGTCTACCCACAACATGGTGCTCTGTGATTCCTGCACGCTTCACAGCAAAATAATGAACCATTCATCATCTAGTACCAACAATATATAATCAGATTTCTTATTGCCAACTTTTTTAATGACACTATTTTAATGGAGTTTCATAAAAGCTAATCATTGAATTTAAAAAAAATTGCATCTCAGGATCAACATGGGTCTGAAGAGTAGATGATAACTGAATGTGGTCTCCTCCTTGAGATTTTCAGATATTCTGGAATAGTGGGTAGAGGACAAGACACGAGCAGGTAGACAACACAGTCACCTCTGTGAGATGCCGTAAGTGCAAATCACCCCACATTTGGTTGTTCTGTATTTAGTGACCCAAATTTAAAAGATTAGTGATGGTAAGATACTAGCACTGAGAATATTGGGTAACACAATAGAAAACACAGGAAAGGGTGAACTTGTAACACCTATGTGCTGAGCACTGGAGAGTTAGTTGCTACTGTGGTCAGAGCTTGTTTATACTTTCTAGTCTCACTTCTTTCTGCATCATATTTTTTCATCCATTTTATTATTATTTTTGAAGGTAGCAGATTCTTCTGTGCTAGTCCACATGATCTTTTCTTTTAAATATGAAATTAGGAGTCCAGAAAATGTAATGCTTGCTAACAGGGCATCTTGGAAACAGTCACTGCTCTTCTCTTGATGGCAGCTTACTCATCCATAAATGGGACTGTAAACATCAACCTCACAGGCTAGTGTGTCTGTAAAGTGAAATGATGCATGAGGAGGGGCACCTTCTCTGTCCTTACATAAGTATTATTGCAGATTTTGTGTCACATAGCTTTATAGCCTGGTCTTTGGTCTTTGGCATTCAGTCTAGTGCTTGGTTATATGATTTTGTATTTTTTAAATACAAATATTTTAATGTTTCCTTTCCACCAGGTTATTTGTGGTTTAATGGCAGGGACTATGTAGGTACTCCATGTTCCTTGAACCTACTCTCTCAATAACTCAGTGTCACTAGATCAGTACCAATAGCTCATCCAGTTCTTATCTGAGAGGAGCCTTGGATGTGGTGTGAGGCTTGGACATTTGCTCTTTGGACTGCGGTAAAGTTTGTAAATGGTGATGTTAAAGCCTATGATTTGGGCATTGGCTAAATGACAAAAACACTACTCCCTGGCCCCCACCTAATGACTCTGTTAGTAGACTGGGATAAGCCCAGGAATCTATTTTAAAATATAATAACATGACTTATTATTATGCTTATATCATTTTATCTTTTCAAAAGTAAAGACTTAAAAACTAAAGAGAAAACACAAAATCCGTGACACGACTATCACTGAACGTGGACAAAAATCACATTAGGTAAAATTTTAGAGGGGAAAAGTTTTATCCACCATTTGGCTATGCAGTGTATCTTTGTGACTCGTATATCACATGTCTTTCTATAGAACTCTGGAGTGGTGCTTTGTCATTTGCATCATGGTATTGATACAGCAGCAAGGTGTGGGTCACCTCTTCCCTCACACTAGGCAGACAGAATGTCCGCTTCTTAATGATGGGTCTTATCCTAAGGCATGATTCCTACCCTTATAACTGACAATTTGCCTGGGATTTGTATCAGGTTTCACAATCCAGTTACTCCCTTGTCTGTTGTGCCTGTATCCATGGCCAAGCCCTCACGTTACTTCCACTTGAAGTTGGATAGACTGAGTTCCCTCCTGCCCCTCCCCACCAGGAAACTAAGCTGGAAGGATATTTTTAGCATACACTCAGATGCTTTTGAGCAGGCATAGGAGAAACACCGAACAAGGATCAGACAAGAACCGATTGTTCAGATTTCTCTGTATCAGCTAAGTTCCATTTGTGGAGCTAGGAGAGGTGGTTTAAAAGAGGACAGCAGAAAATGAGCAATACAGGATGTTCTTGGATGAGGAAATTGGAGCTGGAGTTGATTCACTTGAAGTGTGTTCCAGGAGTTTGCTTTTGGAGCTGTGTTGAACACTGTGCCCACTCTTAGCAGACATGCAGTGCCAGTGTGCATCAGACCCTGCACTAGATCCTGTACATGGCTGCCTCATTTATTCCTGGTTATCTGGAGATGCCCAACAGATGCCCAATGTTCTTATTATTGTATGGAACTTAGAAGAATAGGTAGCTATTTACAAACCTTGATAGCCAAATACTATTGCCATTCTTGAATCAGTCTTAGAGATTTGGATGAAGCCACCGAAATATTTTAGACACAGAGCTCAGACATTTATGAAGATATAGATGACAGAGGTTTAGAGTGAAGTGATAAATGCAATATAAGTACCTTCTACTAATATTTTAAAATCTGATTTTTTTTATGGTACTGAGATAAATTTTTCTAAGTTATCTCTGTTGGATTTAGAATGCCATATGAATGCAGGTCAGTGTTATTTCCACAAACTGAGTCTTTGTTAATTCATGACTAGGGGAAATGGAAAAGTGAGGACACATCATCTTTTCATTGCCACCAGCTAAAGTGACCAGCCAGTAAGATCACAAAACTCTTGGAACACTGCTGGTAGCTAACAAATGTGCTGTGATGTTAATAATAGTTTAGAGATTGTTACATTATAATGAACCCTAGAGTTTAATTCATTTCATGTTGGGTCCAGAGAAGTCAAGGGACTTTCCCAGGGTCATACAGCTTATCCCTAGAAGGACCATTATTCCCTCTATGTTCATATTCCTTGTACTCCACTGTGATTTACAAAACATACAGCTCTGAGGGAATGTGCATTCTATTTCTAAGGGCATATAATCAATACAGATAAATAGAGATATAAAAATTCTTTCCCCAAACCAGCGTACAATAGGATGAACAGGGCAACACGGGGAGGGAATGTTAAAGTGGAGATGTTGGCACATCTGGGTGAGTCAGGAGACTGTCAAAGGGGTGTGCTCTGCTGGCCAAGGTCATTCATCTCAGGAGAAATAAAAAAGAAAAAACACAACAATAACATCATTGTATAGTGTGTTCCAGGTAAATAAGAGCTTTGCTCTTGAGAATATCAGACCCAGGAGGAGGAGATTGGTGTGTGGAGGAAGGGAGAGGGGAGATGGCCACCGTCAATCATGGGCCGGGACCTTAAGGCTTCAGTGTGTGTCAAGCTGGGACTCACGTTAAGTCTGGAGTCACTCTGTCTGGATCGTTTTTCTGCCAGGAGATCTTTGACCGTGTGCTTCACTCTCACGCCTTGGTATACTCGTTTGCTGTAATCTCCTGGGACTTAAGCAAAGGGGATAGTCACAGTCAGATCTAGACGGGGTAGTAAGGTCAACCTCCCAGGGGTGTACTCAGGGTTAATAATCTTGATGCCGTTTTCCCATTCAAATGGTAGAGATCTGGAATATGAAGTGGCTTCAGTAAAGTCCAAACTCTGGTCCTTGATGGAAACTCACCCAGGCTCTGGGTAAGTAAAACAAGAAACGCTCTGTATCTTCTGCACAAGAGCTCTTTAAAATGTCCTCTTTTTTCTACTTTGATTTGTCAAGATTTACTCCAGCAAGATCGATAACTTATGTTTTAATCACCAGATAAGTGATTGGATAAAAATTGAAATGATGATTCTTATTACATGTAGAAGAAGTTAGATTTGCATGACTCAGGTCACAGACTGTTTGGCTGTCCCACATCTTGGTACCTGATGAAGGAGTAGGTCAACTGGATGATCATTCCTAAGAGGAAAGTCATTTGTTTACTACACTAAAAGAGTGTGCTTTGTTTTTAAAAATATGGTGACATGAGGAATTACTGCTTTAAAACTAGCCAAGGATAAGGGAAGAGTTATTTGTTCACTTAACAAATAATTTTTGAGCACTTGCTACATGCACTTACTGAAGATATCATAGTGATTTGCAATTCACATTGACTATTTCACTTTTAGCAAGAGGAAATTGCATGAAGAAATAGAGAAAACCTATTTCATGGTTCTAAAATTTGTCAACGTCACTTCTAGGGATTGTGAGCTCCTTATCACTGGGGATAATCAAGCAATGGCGGGAGAACTGCTTGAACTATTTTAGAAAGCATTTAAACACCAAGTTAGTGATTGAACTAGACACATTTCAAGATACATTTTGCCTATTAAATTGGTATTCTGCAGTAGGTTGGATGGCTTCAATCCCTTTTAATTGAAATGTGGCAGGCTTTCCAGCCAAGTCAGCTGGGACAGAATTTAGCATCAACATATATGGCAGGAGTTATTAGTATATAAATGTATGAAGCACATAACCAAAAATATTCTCTAATCTGAATTTACAGATAGTTACTTGACATACAAATAAAATTGTATCACAAAAAGAATGAGAGGAGGAAAGAAAGGAAAAAGACAAACAAAACAATCAACAACAAAATAACTGAAGTTATAACCAGAGGCAGGGTGGTGCAGTGGGTGGGGGAAGTTGATGGCCTGAGTCAGGGTTTACACAGCTACATGTTAGTCACTGACTTGGGGAAAAAAAATCACAATTTTTTCAGTTTCATTTCCCCCCTGTTAAAATGAATATGATCTCTTTTTTGCTATATTCAGAGGTTTGTAAGTAAAAAATAATATATGCATATGAAAATGCTTTGGAAACTACCAAGTTTCTGTGCCTGTAAACCCAGGCAGTCCTGGTTCAGCAAGAAGGAGAATATCCAAATGATTGATGGTAAGTGTGGACTTGGGGCTGTGGAGGAATGGGGAGGAGGGCAGGAGTTGTAAAAAATCTAGGTTCCAAAACATAATTCAAAGAAAACCACATACAACCTGATTTAAACAAAACAAAATTATTTGAAGGGTCCTTTGGGCTAATTTTGGTCTGTCTTGTGTGTGTATGTGTGTGTGTGTGTGTGTGTGTGTGTGTGTGTGTGTGGTGCTGGGGTTGAACCCCGGGCCTTATACATGAAAGCAAGCACTCTATCACTGGATATATCCCCAGCCCCTGTCCGTCTTTTAATTAAAGAGGCTTGAAGTACTCCTTTCAAATAAGTCTCAAACATAAAACACAAAGACCAGAGGTTTGTTCCAAAGGAATCTAAAAGTTGCTTCTAGAATTGAGAGGAGAGTATCTTATTTTTTTTTTTGAACAGCCTAAGGCTACCTTTATTTATCAGTTATTTATTGACTATTTTCTATGTGTTGACAGAATACAAAAGAACATGGTATCTATTGGAAGAGATAATTGTGTTGCTACAATAGAAATAAGGCTAAGATATTCTGAGAAACAGACTGCGCCACTTCCTGGGGAGCAGGGAGAGGACTGGGACAGCCTCTGATCTGAGGCTTAACAGAGAAAGGGGGGAGGGAGGTGAAACCCTAGGAATGGGGCCTGACCTTCTAGGTGACTCTAGAAGGCAAGAACATTCCAGATGTACAGGCAGCCTGGGCAAAGGTCTGGGCTGCAGAACAGAAAGAGGTGTGAGGGAGGAAGTGAGGCTGGGGAAACAAGTAAGGTTCAACTAACCATGGTGTTTCTGGTATACAGGAGCTTGGACTTCTTCCTGTCGGCAATGAGCCACTGGAGGCTCTTAAGCAAGGGAGTGGTGTAGTTGGATTTGCATTTTGGATAGACTCTTCTGGCAGCTGTGTGGAAGGTGGATTTGAGAATCATAAAGACTCATAGAGATGAGTCAGGAGGATTCTGGAATAATTCAGGCAAGAGGTGCTGGGGTCTGAGATAAACAAACAAGGATCAGATAGGTGTAAGATTATGTAGGTATGGGAAAGAAAGGAGAGGGAAGACTCCAGTGATTCTCAAGCTTCCACTATGGTTCTAGGACATAAGTTTCAGAGTCATCATGACATTGATGACAGTTGAAACCAGGGAGGAGGATGGAATCCCCGAGGGAGCCTGTGACAGTCACATGATGACATACAGAGAAAACAATAAGGTGTCTGGCACTCTGGGATAACAGGCTGGGGTACTCGCAAGGGCTGAGAGGATCAGCATAGTCTAGGGAAGGCCCTGAGCACTGTTTTCTGACAGGTTGGTTGGGAAGCTCGGTACTGAATGATTCAAGATGGAAATCTGGGGGGCACTTCCATTTGAAGGGCTGTCAGAGGAGGAGAAGAAAGCCTTATGAAGAGGACACGTGAAGACTGTTGGAAAAGATCCAGCAAAAGCCAGGGGGAATAAGGCATGTGGAACTTAGGCAGAGATTTCCAGGGGATGGGAGGAAGGAGGAAAAGTATTGGATACCAGTACAAGTGGTCTAGGAAGATAAAGATGGAAAAGCATCCAGTGCTTTCAATCCAGTGGCTGGTGTTGACCTCAGCAAGAGTGGATTTTGGAAGTGTGCGTGGCTAGAACCCAGACAATAATACAGGGGAGGAAGTGGAAGCAGGAGAGAGAGAGAGAGACAACTACTTCTTGAAGTTTGAATGAGGAGGGGAAGCAAGAGATTGGGTGATGGTTGGAAGGAATTACATTGTCACAGAGAGGTTTGCTCATGCTTTATAACTCTGTGTATTTATCAGTAGGTGGGAACTGAGGATATTTGAATGGAATGGAGGGAAAGACTTAAGATTTTGGAAAGGGGGAAAATGAGAGAAGGAGACTTCAAAGAGGAAGACCATATAGTGAAATCAAGGACACAAATTGGTCCTCAGCCTCTGACACTAAAATAAGGAAGGGTGGGTGGTGAGTGGGGAAGAATGGTATTGCCAGGGACTACGACAGCCCCAATATACATGCAGCAGCCTGGAGGAGGAGAGTAACTCAGACACTCAAGGTTGGAAGAAGGCAAGGGTCAGAACCAGAAAGATGAGTCAAATCAAGAATAAGCACAGGTGATTCTCAAAGTTTGATTCCTAGACCTTCAGTATCAACATTGGCTAGAAACCTGATAGGGATGTAGATTCTCAGGTCCTACCCCAAAGCACCCTAGAAACCTTAGGAATGGGGCCTGACTTCTAGATGAGTCTGATGTTCTCTGAAGTTTGAGAACTTCAAATATCTTTATGAATGAGGTTCCTGTGTGTGGCGGGGTGTGTTGGGCTGGAGGCAACTCTAAATTCAGGCAGTTTTGATTGAGCAAGAAGGGGAACATCCGAGTGATTGATGGTAGGTGTGGACTTGGGCCTGTGGAGGAGGAGGAGGGGGCGGGAGTTGAAGAAGAGGTCCAGGCTGGGTCATTTGTGTGTTCCCAGACAGTCTTGGCTTCCCTTTATTCTGAAAGGCTTTTTAAGTGATGACTCAATCTGAATTAGTGATTCATACTTTCTGTGTATGCCAAAGAGCTTAGGGGAAATATGCCTCTTCTAAATAAGTTTAACAAATAACTACATAGTAATTAATAGAGGAATGAAATTTACAAGATGGCAAATAACCAGATCAGAACCTCTTGTAGACATAGATGAACTTCAAATGGATAGCCCAGCTCTGACCTGGACTTGAGACTTGGATATCCACCTACATTTGCATGTCCAGTAGACATCTCAAATTCCACATGTCCAAATCTAAACTTTCATTCTTCCCTTTCATTTTGGTTTTACCTGAAGTCCTCTCCACCTCGGTTGATGGCAACTCCGTCCTTTTAGTTTCTCAATTTCAAGGCTGGCGTCCTTTACAACTTCACAACCATTTTTGGGGAATACACAATAGGGCCACCTACACAATAGATCCAGAGTCTGCTGACTTATCTGCACCTCCATCTCTAATATCCAGGTTCTCTCTATTGTCATTTAATGGAGATTATTGCAGGAGCCTTCTAATGGTCCTCCTGTTCTACCCTTCACCCCTGGCTCAGTCTGCTTTCAACAGAGCAGCCATAGTGATCCTTTCAAAAAAGAAAGTCCAGTTTGGTCACTGCTCTTTTCAAAATCCTACAGGGGTTCTTCATTTCACTCAGAGTAAAAGCCACAGTCCTTAAAAATGGTCCTATGTGACCCTATGCTTATACCTCTGTTTTCGTTTTCGTTTTCGTTTCCCAAGATTCTACTCTTTGCCCATTGTACTATAGCCAGTTTTCTGAAATGTACCAAGTGCTTTTGCCTTGAGACTTTGCACTGGCCACATCTACCAGCTAGAATATTCTTCCTCTTTTTATCCACATGGCTAACTGTTCTTTCCTCCTTCAAGTCTTGGCTCAAATGTCAGCTTCTCAATGAGAACATATTTAAAGTTGCACCTTCATCATAAAATTTGCCTGATCCCCCTTATCCTGCACTACTTATTCCCATGTAGCACTTGCCACTTTATAAAGTTCTGTAAAATTTTTGTATTTAGAGATTTATTGTTTGCTCCTTGCAAGACTCTAAGTTCCACACAGCTTTCCAGTAAACATCTGTTGAAAGCATTTTGTTGTTGCTATTGATAATGAGGTGCTGAAGGTCTTAAAAACATGACTATATAAATATATGTAGTCATACATCGCTTAGAGACTGGAATGTGTTCTGAGAAATGCGTCGTTAGGTGATTTCATCATTCTGCAAACACCAGAGAGTGTACTTATGCAATTTAAAATGGCTATGATGTCACTAGGTGACATAATATCATGGGACCGCTGTCCTTCATGCAGTTGAGGCATGATTATGCTTTATGTCGTAGGTGATGGAAACAATTAGATTTTTTTCAACATAAGAATATTGTGTATCATATTTTTTGGAAGAGTTGAAAATTTTTTTGAAAGATGGATCTGAGTGTTGATCCTAGAATGGCTAAAGATGAGGAAGTGGAGAGGGTAAGAAATTACAAACAGAGGCTAGCCTCAAACCTGGATGTGACAAGGAAAGGGCAGATTTAAGAGAAAAACAACAACAACAACAATAACAAACATACACAATAAAACATACACAATAAAACAACACCATGATTAAGAGGAGAAATCTAAGAAGGCAGAGTAGAGTGTTGATTCTGATAGGGAAAGAAGAATTCAATTTTGACTATGTTGACTTTGAGGTTGTGGTGACATAATCAAATTAAATTTAAAATACCCCGTACCTAAAACTAGAACCTAGGCTAGAACTCTACATCCAAGAAACATCTTAAAAACTATGAGAATTAAAGCAATGAAAATAAAGTTTTCCAAGGAGGACTTTGCAATAGAAGAGTACAGTTCAAGTACAGAGCATTGGGAAATGGCTACAGTTCTGAGCCCAGGGGAAGGAAGGGACAGAGAAGGGCCACTGTAGGAGGGGTGCAGGGCGGGGGCAGGGGCAAGGCCCAAAAAGTCACTGTATACCAGAGCAGAAACATCAAGGGAATGAAGGAAGAAGGATCAGAGAGCAAGTGGGTTACCACCAGTTCTGTTATGCATCTGACACCCAGGTTCTCAACAAGTGCTTGTAGTATATACAAAATGCCTTAGAAAAATTGAGGAAAGTGAAGGCAAGAAAGGCTATGGGCTTAGAACTTGGCAAAGAATACTTTCATAAGACAAAGGTGGAGATGTCCTTTCTTTGGGGTTTCATGGGAACACGGCTAAAACGTTGCTCCCATGCTGTGGGCCAGGAAGGCCAACACCTACACTTTACAACAGCTCAGAAGGGAAATTGACTTTGACAAAGCATGGAGCCCGAACAAATTATTTAAAATCCCATCTGGAGTATTTTTCATGATTTTTGAGTTTTGGAAAATTTCTGAATCTCTTTTTCTATTTTTTTTTAAAGACAGACATGATATATAGAGTTCAAAAAATATTACCAGTATTCCTAGTCTCAAACATTTTTTTTTCTGTGCATGTGTCTATTTAAAGAATCCACACCTGTATAAGCCAGGAGAGCTTAAGAGTTTTTATTCAAATACTCTAGATACAAACTTGCATTCAGATTAGTTGTTGAGAAAACAAAGACAAGCGTTTCCGGAGAGAAAGCACAAGCAAATTTATCAATAGCAATCAATTTTTCCTTTAGAATTTGGAATAAAAATTTGGCACTGTATGATTGTAATTATGTTCATACAGCAGAATGTTTTTTATTTTTATTAGAAAAATATTTTATTTTTTGCAATGCTGGGGATCAAACCTAGGTCTTGAGCCTGCTAGGCAAGTGCTCTACCACTGAGCTATGCCCCCAGCCCAGCAAATTGTTTTAGCCTTATGACATCCTTATTCTTCCCCCTTTTTTTGATGGAGAGTTTAGTCCATAATAGATTTAATGCAGCTATCACTTTAATATTATTTTGAAAATTAAACATTTTCTGCATCAAATCACACTGGTATATTCTGAAATTGATTTAATAATTAAAATGCAGGTGATTCCTATACCATTCTTAGTGATTAAATGGTAAGTCCACTTTTCCATATTCATATTTCAATGAATTTGAAATTCATTCTAATTCTACATTTCTGATGACATTTTTGTGGAGGGCATTTTTTTTACTTTGAAATTAATTAGAGAGTCTAAGCTTGTGACAGAAGGTAAGGGAATAAAGAGGGCACATGAAACAAACACAAAGAAAAAAGAAAGTGACTTTAGAAAAGAAGCATTTCTATTTTGGGTTCTGCAACTGGACAATGAAGATAGTAGATGATGTCTCTGAACTATCATCCCTCGTGACTTTGGGAGGGAGGCACATTGTCAATCAAGACAGAACAGAGTAAAAATCCGGAATGATGGGTTATTGTTGGACATTCTGCATCTTTGTTCCATTCTCTGCCTGTCAGGAAAGGGCAAACAATGAGGTTCCACAAAATACAGTGGCAATATGGTATGTTGGGTCACTGTGTGGCTCAGCTGCCCCTCTTGTCCTTTGGGGACCTCTCTTCCCACCCCAACAGGCTTGCCTTTCTGAGGATCGAGCCTCTCACTGAGGGGAAGGCAGATGTCTGCCCTGGAGTAAATAGTAGTAGTGCCGGGCATGCTAGAAGCTATTGTTTGTATTCTGCTTCTGATCTAGGAAGAGAATATATTAGTTTTACTGTGGGGAAACCTCCAAAGGGATACAAGGAGAGGCAACATAGAGTCTCCAAATTTGTCCAATAATTAAATGTTCAAATTATTAAATTTGTCCAATAATTAAATGTTCAAATTATTATTTTCATACTGCTTATGAAATCAGAAAGACTGAAAATTTTAAGGATGGAAGGCCAAATTAGTCAATATATTAGGATTTAGGTGAAGTTTGGTTTGCCCACACTATTGCTATCCACAGTCTCTCCGGACCTCCCCTTCATTCCCACCTTGTAAGGCTCATAGTTGGATCCCAAAACAGCACTACTGCCAGTGACCAATTCCATATTGCAGAAGATAGGTGATTTTCTAACTTTCTCTCCTTATCTTTTCAATAAGAAGGTCTTCGATTTTTAAAAATATTTTTTCAAGATAGCTTACAAAGCATTTTTGAAATATTTTATCTGTCATTATTTATTAACATTTTAAATGCTAAAGTTTATATCTCAAATTTATTCCTGAACAGGTGGGGTTTTATTCTCTATATTGACACTAATACTCAGGTTGAAGATCTGTAAGTAGTTTGAATCCAGGAAATGAGAGTCTCTTACTTATCATGTGTTAGTGTATTGCCTTTCATCCTAGCCTTGACAGCTGAAAGCAAGATGCCTGAATAAAGGTATTTCTGGACTTTGTAATTGAGGACTTAACAGAAGTTGTTTCATTTAACATAAAATTTCATAATTGTAGAGAATAATGCATTAATATTCAGATAATAATTTTATAAAAATAATGTTAATTAAATTGATCTTTCGGAGTACATATCTAAATTCAATACAGCAAAATTACATCTAACAATTAATAATTAAATGTGTCTAGAATTGTTAACATGTTACCAAGAGTTCTAAATAGTTGGTTTCTGGTCCGTATTTTTATATATCTAGTCAAAATTAGTGATATTTCTTCTTTACCTTTGCTTTGTGTTATAATTTTGTGATGTCAAAAATAAAAATTAGAATTATTAAATTTTTTTAAAATTGTAACAATTGACATTGACTTACCACTCTCCATTCTGGATGGTTCTGGTGAATTTCCTTCTTAGAAGCAGCAGTACAGGGCCTCTGCAAATGGTGTCCACTCCTTGGTAAGGGATCCTGATCTCCTGGAGAGCTCAGCCTGATCCTAGTGGAAAAGCCTTCTGTATTCAGTGGAGATGCTTCTGAAATGACTTGCTTTGGATTTGATTAAATGCAAATCCTTTGGTGTATGTTTCTGTCCAATTTGCATCCCCAATGGAGATTGTATATGAAGGTACTTTTTTCCTCCCCAAGAAGATTTTTAATCAGTAACAATAGTTTCCATTAGGAACAAGCTCTCTTAAATGTTTATTATGAAAACAAGGCATCCATTATTTGTTTTATGAAAGCAGTGGCATTTTTTTACCCCTTTAATTTAGGGTTATATTTTTTAAAACAGGATGCTTGTATGAAAAAGTAGATGTTTCTCAGTAGGGACTATCCTCAAGACTTAGATTATGGGTACATGATTTTTAAAAGCTGGGTGGTTTTCACTTGTAGATAAAATCCTAGGAGGTTGTCTTCATTTAGAAACAGAAGTCTGGAGGAATGAGATGAACATAGTTACGCTAGGTACATGTATGACTGCACATACAGTATGACTTTACATCATGTATAACAGAGAAATGAAAAGTTGTGTTCCTATTGTGTACAATGAATCAAAATGCATTCTGCTGTCATGTATAACTAATGAGAACAAATAAATAAAAGAAACAGAAGTCAACAGAAGAATGATCAGTGGGGAATGAAAGGGAGAGAGGAGAGATGGGATAGGGAAAGACAGTGCAATGAATCTGACCTAATATTCCTGTGTACATATATGAATATACCACAGTGAATCTCACCATCATGTTCATCCAAAGATGCTAATTAAAAAAATACAACTATGAGTAAATAGCAGAAAGACCAATAAAATAGTGGGAAGGAAACAGGGGGAGGGAGGAAGGAAGGAGAAGTGGATGTACTGGGGACAGAATTAGAACAAATTATAAAAATTCTTTTATAATTATGTCAAAATGAATTCTATTGTCATGTATAATTAAAAACAACCAATGAAAACAGAAGTCAAAATTAATGTTACAAATACAATTGCATTGCTTTTTTATGATTTATGAAACAAATATAGGAGCTAGAGGTTCCTGTACTCTGCAGTAAAGCAGAATCATTTGTGTCGCTGGTCAAAAATATCTTTGTCCTGTCCCTCCTGGCAGAGTACCAAATCTTTTGAAGTAAGATTTGGATAATTACCTTTTAAAACAAACTTTCTCACTTTTAAAAAAAGACTCATTATGATGCATAGTTAGTGCCATGAATTCTTTTAGAGCAAAATTTAAAGAAAACAAATTTTGGGTGCTTTCTGACATTTCCCTCATTCATCTTTAACTACCTAGAGTTACTGCTTAACATCATTTTGGCTTCTCCTGATTCTAAACAGAGCTAGAACCAGGTGCCTTCCTGGTTCCTCTAGATTTGTATAACACTTATATTTCAGAGCCTACATGGGCATCATCTAGTGATCGTTAAGCTTGACTGTATCATTTGAGACAATGAATTTAGAGCATTCAGAGTATGTCCTAGATATCCCGGGGTCCTGCAGACTGATATCCAGGGGTTCTGCAAAGTCCAAACTATTTTCATGATAAAGTCAATAAATGATTTGCCCCATTTAATAATACAATTAATGAATGATTTGCCCTTTATCGTTCCATTTTTTTCATGGATGCATGTGATATCTCATCAAATTGAAAGGAGAAGCAGATGTGAGAATCTAGCTGTTATATACGAAGCTGAGCATTAAATATGTAAAACAAAACCCACTTTTTTCTAATTAATTTTATTTTTGGAGTTTGGACAATAGAGTTGTTTTTTCTTAAAAAAAACAATGGTTATTTATGCTAACAGGTCAAGCTTTATTATTGCTATATTAAATGAACAAATATTATTAAAAATATTAATTTATAATATAATAAATATATGGAGGAACAAAGTTTTGGGGGTCTATAATTTATAGAAGAGTAAAGGGGTCCTAGAACCTGAAAGTTTAACTGCTTCTCAAAACTCTTCTTTATAGAATATACCCCTTGTGTTCCTATATTTCAAAGCAAAAATCCAAAAGAAAAAAAAAATAACACTCCCAAACAAAATTATCCCAATTTCTCAGTTTCTAGCACCTGTTTCTCTTAGGAAAAGCATGGCCATGTTGACCCTGTGACCACAGTGGTTTTTATCTTTTTCAAGGAGGCGTGCCCTAGCAGCCATCCCAGCTCATTCCTACTTACACTTCCAGCCAACACCTCTACATTCAATTAAAGAAATCATTAAGGGAACTACTGACTTTCTACAGTAAATTCCCCAAGCTTATAGATTCCTTTTAGCATTTTACTTTTTAAAAAGGATGGAACATTTTAAACTTTTTCAAGCAGATTAGAACCATTTTAAAACACAGATACAACACCCCATCACCAATCAAATGAAGACCAACCTCTGTAGCGTGGCGTTCAAGGCTCTCTTTGACCTGGCCCCATCCTGCCTTTCTACCTTGTCTGTCACTGCTTTCCTCCAAGTAGCCTGTGCCTCGGATTTCTCAAAGTGGATCTTGATCCACCTGCCTCATAGTCACTTTTGAAGCTGATAAAATTCAGTCTATCCTGGACTTACTGAATTAGAATGCTAGCAATCATGCCAGATAACCTGCTCTTTGAACCGGTCCCTCCCTTGTGTGATTCTTAAATATTAAAGGTTGAGGGCTCTGCTACATCTACAATGAATTAGTCAGTGTTTTACAAGTAAGTTGCAGGCTTTTTCCCTCTCTGTCTCTGTTCACAGTATTCTCTCAAACTAAAGCACTCTGTCTCACTTTGTCTTGATTAAATTTTATGTTCTTTCAAGATTCATCCCAAATGCCACATTTTCCTCATAGTTTGCTTGTATATTCATCAAGATTGATTTAACAGCCCATTTCCTAGTTGTCCTTGTTTGAATTTCTGTAATGGTACTGATTTCATGCTATTTTCCATTTTTAAAAATGTCATTTACTCATTTATTTTATTGACATATAATAGCTGTACTTAGGCTTTCCGTTCTTGTCAGTGATTTGCATACCTATCCCTCATACCAACTAAGACTGTGTCTCATTTTTTTCTTCTCTGTGCATAGAGTCCATGAGAGATGATGATTTCTGGGTATAAGCAGCAATATATAAAAGATGAAGGTTAGCAAAGGATAGTCCATTATTTTTCATGGTTAAAAAAATGTTACCATGAATATGATCTTTTTTTTTTTTTTTTTTGCTACAAACCAAACACAACACTGAAGAGGTTGTAACTATCTCCCAGTAGGTTGCTCCAGAATCTGAAGCTCAAAGACATTGTGATTTTTCTAGAGGAAGTTCAATGCAGAAATGTCAATTCACTGCAAAAGCATTTCAGATATTCAGTGTCATCAGAAGAGGTAAAATACATTAAAGCTGAGAAATTGATTTGCAATAATTACTGGCTTGCTCTTGAAAGTATCCTCTGGTACACATGTCACATTTATTTAGAGCTCCAGTATTACTTGCGTAGGATTAAAGACATTTAAAAATAAAACCAAAGGAAGGTTGTTTTCTTAGTTCAATGAAACAATTCTCTCACAGAGTTGAGTGGATGTTGTTGCTGGAAGGATGTGGGTTGGTGATAGATTTGGCTGTTTGCTTCAGTTGTTGGTGGGCTCAGGCAGGTTGCTGGGCCACAGTAAGGCTGGTGATGATCTGGGGCTGCCAACTAGGAAGGAGGGAAAACAAGTGTGGGTTTTGGTGAATAAACTATAATCCACAGAGTACAGGCATGGTTAGTATGTGTCTTCATCTGAAACTCCCGCCCACAGTGCCTCTGTGTCTGCCTCCTTATTAATTCCAGGGCTGGGACCCTGCTGTGGAGGTTAAGGTATCTCCTGACAACTTGGTGGTGGCATCACTAACAAACTATCAGTGAGGCAGATGTGGTGGAGGTGAAGGTGAGGAGCACAGGCGTATGGGGCCCTGGAACAGACACACCAAGGTGGTAACCAAAGTCCCCTCATTTCCCCCACCCTGCCTTTGTTCTAAGGCCATCCTATTCCCCAGGATCTAGAGGGGATGGGAGGGAGCAGTTAGGGATGCTCATTGGTTGGACCATTGGAATGTTTCATTTGAAAAGTGTCAAAGGGCTCAGCCTGGAGAATATAGCCAATAGATTATATTGCTGAACTGTAGGGAAGGTGCCAGAATGGTGGCTCCAAGTCAGTGAGTTATTGAATTATTATTTAGAGAGACCTCCTTTGGATTCATATTGGAGTGTCCTGGTTATTGCCATCTGGATTCTTCTACATGTGGCCAGTTTCATGACCACAGACTTTCCCTTGAATCTGGAAACAGCTGTTTTGCAAATACCATGACATTTGGGCATGTTTATGGAAGCTCGGTTGGAGAATAAAATGCAGATGAGAGATGGCCTTCACACTGGAGATCAGATAGCTGATATGGCTTAGTGTGGCTGGGAGAAAATTTAGTTCTAGATCTGCTGGATCAGAATAAATCACCACCAAGGGACAAATGATTACAGTGATCTTAGCATTTTGTTTAGTAGCATTGAGGCTACCGATATTTTGGGTAATGCTTTGATGAAGGACATAATTTAGGGTATATTGAAACATTGCCATGGGAGAGGAAAAAAATATAATCATGAGCTAGTGAAACTTTGAGGTATGCAGTTATTTTATTTACTGGGCTACACCATTCTGTGATACCCACTGTCCCCTTCAGGAGGACTTGAGTACCTCTTTGGGCCTGATGAGTTTATTTTCTGAGCAATATATAGAGCCTGAGGCAGGTTTTAGATCCTCACACTTCTTATTGGAGTCACTCAATTCTCTAAGATCTCCCCCAGAATCTAGGCATGAAAGTGGTGGTTAGGGACTATGGAAAGGCCAGGTGAGCTGGAATGGTGGTCCCGCAGGTAAAGGCTGGACCATTCCCACCAGACTCTAGCACATTTCCCTTTGGTGAAGAGCCTGCTGCTACACCTTAACTCTGGTGTAGTGAGGGGAAGTAGCAGTGATGGCAGGAGGATAAAAAGAAGCCCCCTTTTTTTCCTAACCAAGAAGTTAGATTAACAAAAATACCAGGAGATAAGAATCATAAGCTTCCCATATATTTAGAAATCGCAATTGTGACAAAGTGGGAATCTTGACTATGTAAGCCAAGAAGTAGGCTCAGTGAGATCTGTTGAAATAAGGATTTTACTTCACATCTATTTGGTGTCAGGCAGCAAGCTGGTTGTGGAGTATGAGGCCAACCATGTTGTGCTTCTCCCCTCTGTGGCATTGTGACATTGTAAATAATGGATAGCTTATGTCTAGACTGGTCACCATGGCACAATTGCAAAGCCAGTGTCTGGTGGTGCTATTACTATGTAACCTGTGGGCAATGGCCCTCATGGTATAATATGAAATAGGACCGAGGCCCAGATATTAGAATAAATG